TTTTTCTTTTCCTCTCCTTTTCATTACTTTTGCCGCTTTTTTTTCCATTTCATTCATTAATTTTTGCGATCTCTGAAGAAACAAAACGTTGTTTATTCATTAAAAAAATCTTTTTAAAAAACGTTTTTATTGATAAAAATGATTTGAAACGCAAAAATGAACAAACTTTCATTTATTTAGCGAAATAATTTCGAAAGATAAAAATGAATTGCGCCAAAACAGTTTAAGTATCATTAATTCATGAGTTATTATAACCGAATTTACTGGTCATAATAAATGATCGAGAAATACTCTCTATTGAATAATAGTAATAATAATCCACCGAAGGTATTAGTGCTACTTATCAGGAATACCAATCAATTTTCCGGATAGGTTTCGTAATTAAATAAAAGTTTATTTATAACTATTTTATAGTATTATGAAAGGATTAGTGTGCCACGATTTGGATCAAATCGTCCAGCGGTGTTTGTGCATGACTTTAGAAAGGTTATTTATTTTCCTTTTTTTCAATTAATACAAATTTCAAAAAGAAAATGGAGATTTTTTTTCATCTAGAAGAAGTCATTCATGCAGAGATAACAATAATGCAAGAGAAATACAAAAAGTCAAATTAAAAAAAAATTCCAAAAATCTTTTTTAAGTTGCAAAAAAGTCTTTCACTAAATGTTTGGGTTTTATCTATACTGATAAATTTTTTTTAATTAATAATGTATTTTAACGCAGGTTTCATTTCATATTTTAATTAATAATTTAAAGAATTAAAATCATCGAAATCATTGTCTTCAGCCAGAAATATTGTTGGTGTCAATTTTCAAACTATTAATTGAAATTAAAAATATAAGGACTAATTTGGCATGGATTAAATTTCAATTTGTTAATTTGAATAATTGTTAATGCAAGATATTGCTATAAATACTTGTATGTAACAACCTCATCTCTTGGAAACTTTATATTTTCACAGTTCTTTACCTTTCAAAATCCATCCCCTATCCTTTTTTCAACAATATTAGATTATTTATCTTTCTAAATTTGCATAAAATGCAAGACAATGCAAAAACAATTTATTATTAGAGTAACAGAATATGAAAGCAATCAACCAAACAAAAAACAATAAATTTTTTGAAATTAATAATGTATTTTGACTGTTCAATTCTTGCTTCATATTTTAATTAATAATTTAAAAATCAAAAAATTTTCTTCTATCCGAAAGAGATCGTTAGGTAAAATAATTGCCAAAAATCTTGATTTATTTTTCTTTTTGCCTTTTTAGTGTTTCTTTTATACATTTTGATGATAATTTTTGTTTCCTTTTTTTTCATAGAATTTGACAGCAATAGTGGATTTATTATCAAATCGTTGCTTTATCAAAGAACTGGATAGAACAGTTGTTGCAGCACCAACTAATCTTATTGATTTCATCGAAAAAATGGAGGTTTTACTTTTACGAAAATTAATACCTAAAAAAATCTGTTAGAATAAAAGCCAAGAACTAGTGCAAAAAAAAAGGAAAATTTATTAGGATAAAAGCTTGAAAAATAGGGACAATTACTAATTACTTCGCCTGAGTCTTTTTTTAGTTGAAAATTCAAAAAATAAGAAATTGAAATAAAAGTATGAAATCATTCAGATGTGAAGTAAAGCGATAGATTTAATTTCAATTAGTAAGTCTGTTTTTGTTATTCATGGTTTTTTTAATGGTATTTTTATGTTTTTTTTTAATGGTAGTTTTATGGTTTTTTTTATTGGAGCAATAACAGTAAATTTTATTGTTACAGGAAACTCTAAAACATTATATAGTCTGCTGTAATTAACAATGAAATGAAATAAATGACTGATTAATTTCAATATTATAGAATTTTTCTAAATTATTAAAGATTTCAGGAGGCTCTTCCTTTTTCTCCTTTTCTTTTTAGTAACAACATATTGTTTGTCATTTGAAATTTTTGATACAGAAGGGACACTATAAGAATCCAGCAGTTGTCCAACGAACTTATCGAATAACCGGTCGTATTGCTAATGGTATTATTGAAAATTTGCAATCACCGATGATCAGTCATCATTGTCAACATCGAACAATCTTTGAGCTTAACGAAGCTTCAAGATCTACGGAACGAGAACATTGGCGTAGATCCAAACGGGGTTAGATGTTGTTGAAGATTTGTTAGCTAATATTTTGGGTGGAGGAAGTTTGAAAGTAACATAATAAATCAATTATTAATGATACTTTCTACTACACAGTTCGAATATTCATGACAACGATAAAATATTAGTACAAAAATTGAAATGATTGAAAACTTCCAAATTTTTTTCCAAGAAATCTTCAAAAAAATTTCCAAAAAAAATTTAAAAGAGTCAATATTAATCCTCCTTTTCTTACACTTCTTAGAACATTTCAAAATTCCAAAACTTTCATTTAAAACCTCCTAATAACTCCTTTGATCTTATTGGTGATGAATGTTTTTAATCTCTATTTTAATTTTAAATTTTTCTCCATTTTGTTCGGAAAATGAATTCATGTAATCTCAACTTCAGAAATGTTTGAATCATTGCAATTCGCCGTTCTCAGTGGTCAAGCAATTGAAATGGATAAAATTATAATTAATTGAAAGGAATACTGTAACATAAATGATCTGCAAATGGTCAAGAGTCAAAGCAGTTGTCATTGACATATTTTGTTTTGAACTCTTATTTTCACTGCTACAAACTTCTTTTTCTAACTTTAGAAAAAAGATGAGTCAAAGGTTATTACTATAAGGCATATAACAGCAATATTGTTTATTGAATTAAATGATAAGAAAATGCTGAAGATAATAAGCTTCATTTCATCCTTCAGTATGTTTGTTGTAGTAACTATTTTATAATATTAAAAACTCTAAATGATGGTATGAACAACTGCGCTTTTGGAAGTCAAATACCGCTTCTTTCAACTTTAACTCTACCGGAATAAATGAAATTAAGATGGATTTTAAAAAAATAATATTCGATATGTAATTTGAAATACGTTTTGACGGGAAATGTGAGAAAGTGAATTTTCTCACATTTTTAGGGAATGTAATCAATGCTACGAATACATTTAAATCGAAAATATTTATTGTCGAAATTTTTATCTCAGTGTTATATATATGTTAGCAGTAAATTGTACATTGAAATAAATTGTTGTTTCAACAAAATTATCAAAAAAAAAAAAAAAGAAATTGCCTCAAATTTCTACTGCATCATATAATCCAGTGATAAAAAATCAATTTAATTTGACAAATAGTGATGAAAGAAACTAATTACCATGGAAATTTGACGATAATCTTTTGTGATATGATAGTGTAAATATTACTGATAAGAGGCAAATAAATGAGGAAATAATTGATTGGCCTACAAAATCTTACATGATCTGCAAAGAATATTCGAAAAGTTGCTCTTCTGGTTCATTTGATAAACATAACAATGATTCATAGTGAAAATTTAACAGACAATTACTTCCCAAATCTGACATTTTAATTAATTAGTAAAGCAAATTTCGTTCAATGTGAATTATTATTTATGGTTTGGATACATAAGCCAGAAGAAGCAAAATACGTTAAGTAATTGACTTGTCATCAAAGGAATTTGATTAAAAAAATGAATTTTTATTTCATAGAAAATCGAGGAAAAAAAGAAATTTTATTTTGCGTTTCAAACAACATTTTGTTTAAGTGCACTTTGACAAGGGAAATCACGCTTTTTTTTTAAGCGAAAACGCGTTAACTGTCCCAATAAATCTCTACAGTATACTGTATCAATAAACCTCTACAGTATATGGCGTATTCGTTATGTTAATTTTCTATGAATGTATCAATTAAACCATATCTTAAAATTATTTTAAAATAATTAGCACTGTAATCTAAAATAATTAGCACTGCAACCATCATGTCAACATTACTATTGGAAGTGATCCAGCGATATGTTGAAATTGATTCATTTGACTTAAAAACGAATCCAAATTCATGATATTTGATACCGCATCATTCTTTTCCTCTTTTTTAAACTGTTTTCTATTTCTCACGATTTCTGATCTGCCACGTCCTCCATTTTGAGTCATATCAGTATTGATGATGATTGGATGAAGAACGAAGCAGGGTCAAACAAGTTCAAATACTTTTTTAGAACGCATCCTGATGATTAAGCGCCAAGAAAATTTTGCCTACGATTGGATAAACCTTTTCTTTCTACTCATCTATCAATGGATAAACAGCAAACGACAACAAAAAAAGCTTTCCCGATAAGGCCAGTGGGTGTTTAGGGTTGTAGATAGCGTTATTGGAAATTTACAGTAGACGACCCATGATTCAGACCCATATAAAAGAGCAGACAGGACGGTGGCTTTATAAACAGTAATCTTTGTACTTCTCTCCAGGTTGCTATTGCACCAGATTTTCTTACGGAGTTTTTCGAAAGCTCTGTATGCTTTGCTAACTTGCCTGTTGTGGATCTCTTTGTCGATTTTGGCGTCCGAGGAAATGATGCTGCTCAGATAGCTGAACTGCTGGATCGACTTCACCTATGGTGATGTGAGGATAAAGGTAGTCTTCCTGTGATGTAGGCTGGTAGAGAACTATTATCTTTAAGCTAACTTGTGGCTCAAAAGCCTCTGCAGCCTCTGAGAAGCAAGATATTAAGCGCTGCAGAGTTGTGTCTGTATGACTTATGACGCGGCATCGTCAACAAAAGGTCCTCTCGGATGTGGTGTTTTAGAATCTGTCATGGATATCTGTCGCGTTAGGGGTAACTGTCGCCTTAGGTT